TTCTCAGCCTCCAGCTCCAGTCACACCATCCATGTGCCCTACAAAGATAAGCTGTCATTGGTGGATATGTATTAAGAAAGCTACATCAAGAAGCTGACACGCAGATGGACATCTTAGTCTTCATCATGTGGGTTCCCTACTAAGGGAAGTGGGGACTACATCGAACAAGGACGCCCTTGCCAGCTTTTTGATCACTTCCTCCTGGTGGGACTGCCTCACCAGGGAACAGGAGAAGAGGACATGTTAGTCCTGATGCAACTTGATAAGCTGGGGTGGAGAGGAAAGGGAGCTTCCCTTTTCTGAGAAATAGGCGAGGAGGGAGGGAGGGAGTGTCAGATTGGGAGGGAAGGAGGGATGGGGCTACAACCAGAATCTAAAGTGAATACAATAAATAAATAAATAAATTTTTAAAAAATTGACATGCAGTTGTGGTAGTTTGAGAAAGCTGTGAACTGTGGATGGGGCAAAGTGCAGAATGTTTTTCCCATAAGCTGACTTTCTAGAAAGAATTAGATAAACTATGATAAATGAATGCACTTGAAAGCAGGCATAAAGGGAATGGCTAGCACATCCACATTATCTCGTGATAAAAGCAAAGGCCAGGGAGGAATATTCTTGGCTCTTTTTATATGACCAAAGATGGTAGGACATAACACCATGCATATTCTCTCACTGTACTTGTATTTGCTTAAGCTAACTGGAAAAGGCACTTCATGTTTTTCTTGCTTTAATAATAAAAATGAGAAATGCTTTGTTTTGTACTACTCTTTAACTTAAAAAAAAAATAGACAATGCTAATGGGGGAAAACAGGATGCCGTGGTCAGGCTATTCTCACGGAGTTAGGATCAGATTCTTGAGACATGCAGAATGTGCAATTTCTACTTTCCAGAAGGGGCTAGTTCCCACACAGGTCATCACGTGCCCTGTCTTGGTGTCTTAGATGGCTCCATCTTGCCCAGAGACTTGGGCCAACATTACAGTTCTTCCTGACACTGCAGATGTCATGAGTGTACTGTGGCTTTGAGTAAGAAATCTCCCAGAATCCTTAGGGTGCCATGCTTTTGTTCATAAAAGTATGGAAACTAATTTCCAAAAGTAATGGCTGTATCTTAACTTTCGCATATATAGACAAGAATTTAAATATTGCTATCTAAGTTTGCTGATGAGCATATGCGGTGGTTTGAATGAAAAATGGCCCCTAAAGGCACATTTGAGTGCTAGGACCGAGTAGTGGAACTGTTTGAGAAGAATTAGAAAACCTGGCCTTGCTGGAGGAGGTGTGGCCTTGTTGGAGGTGTGGACTCTCAAGTTTCAAAAGCCCACACCAAACTGCTGGCTTTAGGGCACACAGGTGCTATCTATCCATCTATCTATCTATCTATCTATCTATCTATCTATCTATCTATCTATC